CTTTCTCATTCTACATTCTCCAATGAAGACAGCCAGACATCCTGCTCTGGATGTTCCAAAATCAGGTGATCTCAAGTGGCCTCAGAGCAGTGAGTGTCCCCATTCCTGTCCCTTCTCTCTTTGGGCTGGCAGTAGGCTGTCTTTTTCTCTTTACCCTTTTTCCTCATACCTGGGATGATCACCCAAAATAAGGCACCAGTGCTGAGAGGTCTTTTCCAGTGGGTGGGACGCCCCTTTAAAAAGTGCACTCATGTCCCTCTGCAATGTGAGCAAAACCCTCTTCCTCAGCAGAATGCCCCTAAAGCAAGTGTAGTTCATGTCCCCAGCAGACATTACCCCCGAGTGGCTCATCATTTTCTTGTCCCAATATGTGATAAACCCCGTCTATTTCTTCAGATTCACCTCTGGGCTACATCCTAAAAAAACAAGACAAATTTAACTCTCAGACTCTAAAAAAGAAACATCTAATTTTCTTTTTTTTTTTTTTTTTGAGGTTTCATCTTTTTAATAAGCTCTCTGAAGGACATCCTAAGCACTATATGAGACAAAACAGAATATTTTTTCTTCTGGTATTAAAAAAAAAAAAAAGACATTTACAAACATTTTAAAGCAACTCTTCTATATAATCAGTTTGGTGATCTGAATTAGAGAACACCCCAAGATAATCATGTTCTTGATGCAGATTTCTTATAGGTACATTTGGAAATTGCTACCTAACCACAGTAAACACTGTGTACAGGTTTTTTAAAATGTTCCTGGATACACATTAATTTTTAAAATCCAGCCTGGCCAAATGCCAGAACCGTTATTGCTAGATCCAATAATCCTGAGAGCTCAAACTAAAAAACTGGTGAAAAACAATCAGACTCTACAAATGTTCCATAAATTTTCTTTAAACAAAAGGAAAATTATTTTTAAAAGATGAAGCTGTCTAAAAGGTCTTTAGCTAGCTACCTTGGGAGCTCAATTTAAAAACAAGAAGTTGGCCAGGTGCAGTGGCTCACACCTATAACCCCAACACTTCGGGAGGCCAAGGTGGGTGGATCGCCTGAGATTAGAAGTTTGAGACCAGCCTGGCCAACATAGTGAAACCCCATCATTACTAAAAGGTGATGAAGGTGATGAAACCAAAACCCCTGGACCACTGAGTCTCCTTCACAGCGACCACCTCAGAGATAGGCCTGAAGCTGCTAAAGTGGTCTTCCAGCACCTGCTCATTGGTGTTAAAGTTGCACCCTTGCACGAAAAGCTTTGCTTCTTCAGAGAACATGGCAGCAAGTTCAAGTCCTGGAAATTAAAACTTAAAAAAGCCGGACAGACAGCGGGCTCAGAGGTGCAGAGAAAATAGGGCACATCTAATTTTCTTGTGCAATATCTTAATAGCATGGCCCCCATGCAGGAAATCCTCAAATTAGTCTCCTCAGTCTCTTATAACTGAGAGCAGAATAAAAAGGACAGGGCTAAGGAAAAAGAAAAGCACAGAAAACACAGGGAGAGAAGGTAGACTTAACTGCTGACTGTTTTATGAGACCACAGCCCTATCTAGGTTGCCCTCAGAATATCCTCCAGGTAACTGCAATCAGTGCAGAAGGCCAGGCCACTGGAAGGCAAACTGCCCCAGTGGGATAAATGGGGAAAATCCTCTGGTTTGCCCCCTCTGCCACAAGCTTGGCCACTGGAAATGGGACTGCCCTGAGGGCTGAAGGGGCCCCAGGACAGAATCCCATCAGACACCCCTGATAGCCTTCTGCTGGGGTAGGGGTCTCTGCCCCAGCTGGCTTCCAAATCAAACACCATTATCAACAAAACAAAGCCAAGGGCAACTCTGGAGGCAGCAAGTAAAATTATAAATTTCCCCTTTGAGTTAAAGAGTTGCCTATCACGGAGATGCCTCTTCTACCCATTCTGAAAATAACCTTTTGCTTATATGGTAAAAACCTGGAAAATTACTATCTGGATGTTAACAGCCTTTTAGATTGGGTCACCATTGGAACTGGGTAGACCAATAAAAGAAAAAGGTTAAATTGAAAGAAGGATGCATAATAAAAACATGGCTAGTCTTAGAAAATTATCTTGAGTAGTTAAAATCCTTTGCAAGCTTGAAAATGCTCAAAACTCCTTCTGGAAAAAACAGCAGTCACCTTGTGCTGTAGACCAGTGGCTAAGGCTTTGCCCTCTCACAATGGTGGCCTGCATTCAATTCTTATCTTTCAAAGTGAGTCCTTTGTGATTTAATACTAGTGGTATTTTTGCCATTTATTGATTCTTTTCCCCTCTATGAATGGCTTCTGATTTCCTGTCTTGAAATTTTCTTTTATCGGATTACCTTTGGGGCAATTCTAGATCCTGTAAATCATTGACCATCTCTTTGGAGACAGCTTATGTGTCTCTGTTTAAGTCATCCTCTTAGTTAAGGTTTATTGATATCATAGACTTAATTACCGTTAGTAAAAGATTCAAAAGCCAGAAATACTAGTCATTTCTCCTGACTAAAATCTGGTAATAAAAGATTTTTAAAAGATTATTCTTTTAAAAGCTCTGTAGTTAGAAATCAACTTTAAGCTTATATTTGGGCTGTATGTGTACAGACATTGGTTTTTAAAGCCCCTGCTTTCTCTCTAAAAACTTCTCAGTTGATGGAATGTTGTCTTAATTCTCCATTTCTGTCTGTGTATTTTATATGTGCTGTGTGTATGATGTTTATATACAGAGTTCTAATTGGCTTAAAGAAAAATAAGCACTTGAACCTATTGTCAGAAAAATTAAAACTTTAATGCCTTTTAGGTCACATGACTAATAATCTTTAAAAAGAGTTTTAAAATTATTGGTAAAGTAAAAGATGTCTTCAAAGTTTATACATTTAAACCAAATTAGGCAGTCAGATACTGTTTGCCCGATGCTTTAAGGCTATAAACTGTTTCTATGACTTTTAATAATTGGCTTGTTTTATAGCCATTAGATTCCAGGTAAGGCCTGGGGACAATGGAATTAGCCTGATCCCATGGCTAGGCTGGGAAGAGTCAGACATTATCTTCTTCTCTGTCCTTGTCCTGAACTCTGCAATCTTTTATATATGGTTAAAATCACTCATCAGGTTTTTCACCAAAAATAAAAGTTTCTGAGAGTTAACATTGTAACATGTGCTTGAGACTACTGGAGAAATAGTTTACATTCAAGGTGTAGAAGGAAAGCAGAATGTGTTTTTGGTGGGAGGTTATAAGAAGGCATGGAAATTGGCTTTTGTTAAAGGAAATGTAATTTTGTCTTGCTCAGAGGATTTTAAGGATTGGCCTAATCTACAGGAGTAATGGGATAAAGCTGAAGGTTTAAGCAAGTAAAAAAGTAAGTTGTGTAGCGCTGATCTGGTAAAAAGTTCTTTGGATATAAAAAAGCTGGCTAAGATTTGAAGAGGATTGTTTAGTTTCCCCATCGGTTGAACACTGAAATAAAAGCACACTAACGCAGGTCCAAAATCTGGGCCATGTGTCTGAATAATAGTTTTCTTAGATCATTGATCTGCTGCTTAACAGAAGACGATAAAGGGTTATAAGAGGTTTATGGAAATCTTACCTTATGGTCAAGCTAATAAAGATTGGATAGATTTATACATATGATTTTATTATGAATTGGACTTAACATTAATAGAAACTAGTACAAAGGTGCCATTTGACTTTCTCTTTTAAACGAGATTTTCATATAATATAAAAAGAAAGTGAAATAATTTTGTTTGCCTTTTAAATGAATGACAGAAAAAGGAGGGAAGAAAAAGGAGACAGATTCAGCTGTCCTCATGCTATCTTTATTGCAGCCTGTTTTGAAAGTTGAGTCTCCCCTCTATCAGCAAGTAAAGATTGTTGCCTTTTAAAAATTCTGGACTTATCATTTTGGCTAAATGACTCACAGTGACTCTGTACTAATCTCCTTCTCTAAGCAACTCTCCTCCAAATCCTGTTAGGTAATGGAAACAGGTGGCACCCTCTCCCTCCAAAAGAAAAGTCCACACCCTTTATACTACTTAAGGGATCAATTACTATTTTCCCTCCATGCTCTGGTAACATCTAAATACCCCACATCTCTTTGGGGCAAAAACATTCTTTCCAAGATGGGTCCCTGTTTAATATTTACTCAACCTCTGAATTCATCTTTCCCTCTGATAGCCCTATTTCTCCTGAGAAAGCTACCTAAATCTTTACTAAATAACTTCAACCTAAATAGTCCTATCTCAGGCATTTAAAATAGTCCATACTTATTCAGACAAGCCCTAGCAAGAAAGCCAACTGAATAATCTCTTGATGGAACAACTTCTACAATATGTAAATAACCTCCTCATTTGCTTCCCTTCCAAAGAACTCACATAGCAACATGCAGTATAAACCATAAATCCCTAACAAAAGGAAAATAACTTTTGTCTCATTCAAAGGTTATTTAATGCTTATATATAAAACAAGATAAAAGGAACCAGAAAAGAAGAAACACATAAAGTTATAAAGGTAAAGAGGTATTTTTAGTAATGAAGGTTATAAAGATTTTACATGAGAAAGGATTTTGTAGGGTAAATTCTTGTCCTAAAGTAAAATGACTGCTTGTTTAAGAAAGAGGGATGCTTAGGACACGTCAGAAATTCTGGGCATATTGTAGATGGTCTGTGTAAATCATGAGAAAATTCATGAAAGGAAATTCATAAAAGGAACGTTATACGTAATCAAGAATAAAAGCCTCTCTAAAATTGGTTCCCTATGCTGTATCTAATCAAATTTAAGAATTTTTTTTCATCAAGTTTAACTTGCAGGTTATCTAAATGCGCTTCCAATAAGGAAAAACAGTTAGACTCCAAAAGTTTTTTCTTTGCCTTTTTGGTAACTGGCTCAAGAAACAAAATTTTATCTTCTAGAATTCAGTAGTTTCACCTTCAAATGGTGCTATGAACAGGATATCGGTCTCTCCTCAATGATGCCTGCTACCTTTAGTAGTCTCCCATTCAGCTGGAGGCCAGCTTTGCCTAGACATGCTCCCCCTCTCTGATGAATGCCTTCCTCCAGCATGATCCAATATCCTAGGTCCCACAACCCAGGGAAATGGCTCACAGGGTTTCCTGATAGACCAACAACCACAGGTAGGGTTAACTCTATGCCCCTGGTCAACAGGAAGCAGTTGAAACATGAGACCTCTACTCCAATGCCAAAAATCTGTCATTGCTATTCTGTCATGGGGGAATGTTGATTCCTGATAAGTAAGCAACAATGAGGAAGGGGCCTCAGGTAGGGAAAGGCCCCAGGTAGGGAAGAATAATAAACAATTGTTCTGAGAGATGACCTCATTCCACACAATAGCCTCATTCTGCACACAGCCCTATGCAGTACAACCCTATAAAACTTCCCTTCCACCCCTGCCTCTTTGCAGATAGCCCCTTCTCTGCTGTGCTGCCTATTGCAATTTTGCAACATATTTTCATACTTTCTTTAATAAATCTGCCTTTCTTTACCTACAACTGTCTTGGTAAATTCCTCTACAACCTGTGACACCAACCCCAGATAGTTGCATCTGTGAGAAACGTATCCTCAGTGGTCCAGAAGATATGCTGCCTGCCCTGAGCAGTGGGTCAAAACCATCTGGCCACATAACAGAGTACATGCTAAGGAACAATTCATTGAAACTTCCAATGAAGATCAGGTATTGGATTTTCCAAGTGACAGGTCAGAAAAGGAGGCCTCATCTGTGGTCACGGTGGACTCAAAAGCAAATGAAAATCTTTCTGTTGAGAACATACTGAAGCAGTTTCCTTGTTGCAGGGCATTGGAGAAAGCCCCATGGAAGACCAAGACAGCCTCAAAAACATGGAATACACATCTCCTCTGGACATCATTTATGAAGGCAACTATAAGGATGAAGACTCTTCAGCTGCTCCTGAAGTTCTCAGCATAACATCTGGCAAATCAATGGATGAGGACGAAGATGGTTCCCGTATGTCAACTTCACATAATCTTGAGTGGATTCTGGAAAATCTCAGCAGCGATGAGGATGACTCTTCAGCTTCCCATAAGGACCATGTACACAATGACCTCATTCTGCATGTTCTGCAGATCTGAAAAGAAGATGCTGGCAATATATCAACTTCAGGGGAAAGTAAGTGGATTCTGAAGAGGATAAGCAATGAGAAGGACTCTCCAGCTCCCTGACCACCTTCACATTACCAGCACTCTCTTCAGGGTGCAACCTCTACACCAAGGTCTCTGAGCAGACACCAGAGTGACGGAAAGATGGAGCTCCTTACAGCTAGAAAGTTATTTCTCATCCTGATAACTCTCATTTGCATCATATGGGTCCCATTAGTACAGTTATCTCCAAATGGGCCACTCTTCTGTTACATAGAATAATTTGCTCATTACCTTGGGACTCCAAGTATAGATGTTTTCCTCCTTGCCATCTACTGTAAGAGTCAATTAACAGCAGGCTCCACTCACTGGACTTGTGGTCAGCCTTATTCATAGGATCACAGAGTTCAACTATAGAAAAGAAAACTGGTTGGTGTTTGATGACTGTCATAAATTAATAAGCAGAGTGCACTATCTGAACTTTGTCATTTTTGTCTTTTTCATTTTTGTATCCATCTGGGCTATCCTGGGAATCTCTGTTCACTAAACCCATTCCTGTTGTACATACTGTCTAAACTGTTCAACATGAATGATGTCTTATGCTAATGAGGATAAGGAGACACCCACACTCTCCAAAGCTGTTGGAAAGAACCTATGTAAAGGACTGGTGGGACAATTTATCTATCTTGTTGCTGTTTCATTAATTCACTATGAGACTACATGCTTGTTGGGCACCATGCTCTCTGCCTGTGTCTAGGGCCCCAGGTGAGGAGCTAAAAGGCCACCCGTGGGGCCACTAGTGATGGCAACACTTGGCTGGAATGCTCCTGGTCCCAGGCCAGCCACCAGGCATCCCAGTAGCTGGAATCACTGACACCTCTGCCTCCCAGCACAGGACCCAGGCAAGGACCAGTGGACTCCAGAGCACTCACTGCCCAGAGGCCACAGATGTTTGATGTAGCAGGGGCATTTCTTGGCTGGATCCAGCCTGGGGAACCAGCCTGGGGAACTGAGAGCTCCACAGCTGTAGGGATAATACAGTGCCCACATCCAGGATTTGAGGTACAGTAGTGGTATCGGAGTCAGAAGACTGGAGCAAGTTGCCTGTGGACTTCTGAAAGTGAAAAGTCAAGGGAAATGTCTGTCTCTGTCCTTGTCCCCATGCCAGCAGTATAAGCCTCAGGCTGGGATTTCTTTTAAAACCCATAGTATTCCCTCACCCAAGTCCTAGTATAATCATTTCGTTGAGTACCTGTGCAACAGCTGATGTGCCAAGTTCCATGTTTGTATCTGATCTTCACAACAGCCTTAAAGCATTATCCCATTTCACCTCCAAGGAATCTGAGGCTGTGAGATAAATAACTTGCCCATGGTGAGTAGAGAAGCCAGGACTGGCATCGGCATCTGCTTTTCTCTGGAGCCTGGAGTGTTCGCCCTGAAGCTGCTCTTCTGCCTTCCCTGCGGTTGGTGCTTTCCAGTTACTATTTGTGCTTTACCAAGACCAGTGGCCCCTACTGCCTTCCTCGCCCCTTCTTCCCTTCCTTAATCTGGTGACTTTCTGTGGCCAAGAAGAGGGTCTGCAATACTGTTGCTCTACTTCATGTAAAATGACTGAAATCTTGTGGAGAAATTGTGAAGCCAACTTGGGAAGCACACTAAAGAAACCTATGTTGGAAGCTTAGGAAAAAAAAGTACCAGGAGACAAGTACTCCAACAGAAGCTCTGCCTTTACCATGAGAACGTGCCAGGGCCAGCCTGCTGGAGGGAGACATGTGGAGCAAAACTAAGTCACCCCAGCCAATCTCCAGACCTGTGAAGCACCAGCTGATAGCCAGCTGTTCCCCAGTCCCATGAATGAGCCCAGTTGAGACCTGAAGAGCTGCCTAGGCTAAATCACCAACCTATAGATTTGTGAGCTCAAAGGAAATGATGAAGAAAATGTTCTTGGAATTCCCTTCTGGCAGAGTCTTGTGAGCTTTGCTTTCATTTGTTAGTGAAATGCTTGACATTTTTCCTTCACTTTATTCATTTATTTATTTATTTAGAGACAGAGTCTTGCTCTGTCGCTCAGGTTGGAGTGCAGTGGTGCCATCTTGGCTCACTACAACCTCTGCCTCCTGGGTTCAAGTGATTCTCCTGTCTCAGCCTCCCAAGTAGCTGGCATTACAGGTGTGTGCCACTACCCCCAGCTAATTTTTGTATTTTTTTAGTAGAGATTGGGTTTCACCATGTTTGTCAGGCTGGTCTCAAACTCCTGAGCTTGTGATCCACCCACTTCAGCAGATCTGCCTACCTTGGCCTCCCAAAGTTCTGGGATTACAGGCATGAGCCACCACACCCTGCCTTTTCCTTCACATTATAAACATTATGTACAAATTATTCAGAATTCTAATAGAAAGTAATTTCCCCCATCCTGGCCAACATGGTGAAACCCTGTTTCTACAAAAAATACACCAATTAGCTGGGTGTGGTGGCACATGCCTGTAGTCTCAGCTACTCGGGAGGCTGAGGCAGGAGAATCACTTGAACCAGGGAATAGGAGATTATAGTGTGCCAAGATCGCACAATTGCACTCTAGCCTGGCAACAGAGCAAGACTCAGTCTCAAAAAAAAAATGCCATTTTACTTGAAACCATGCCTCAGAAACAAACAGCACAGGACACCTTTACACTTGCAAATTCCACTCACAAATGAAGGAAATCCAATGTTGGGTGAGACCGGGACTTAAAGCTACTGCCACAGGAAATTTAGAAGAGCAGTCTAGGATAGGCATAGGCAAATGGCAGACAGTGGCACACAGTAGAGTTTGTTGCAGCAGAGAATCCAATTATGGGACACTGAATTTTTTTTAAGCCAACTTTTGCACATCTGTGATCTCTGGCTGACCAGCACCCTTCTAAGAATTTAATCTGCCTAGACACTGCACTACTGGCCAAGGAGGAGACAGAAGCACTGACGTGCATGGCCTAAATGAGGAAGCCAAAGACTTCACTCTCCTATCAGTGTTTTTCCTTCCAAGTCAAATATATACAGTAGACTTTCTTTGAGGCCATTTGCTGACCACAGAATGTCTGCAATCATGAATTTTGGAAATAAATAATTCCCAGTGCTCTTTAAAAAAAATACACTATGATCTGTGAACTTTAAAACCTGACTTAAAGTAGCAGTAATCATTTTAGAGAAGGTCATAAATACCATTATGGCCCTAGTCCAGCAGTCCAGTAAAGAGAAATACTTTGACAGATTTTTAGCAGAAATAAATAGTACCTGATTCAAGTTACAAAAGAATTTCAAGAAGTCCTGAAAGAGAGCTTTCCCTTTCAAAAAAATAGAAGTGGCTTTAGTAGATGAAAGGCAATGATTAAGAAACTTGAGAACCAATTATTAGCAATGTTAGTGAGATGAAATTGTATGTTATTAATAACTGTTTCCCTAAAGAAAAAGAAAAAAGAGTACAAAAAAAATTTAAGAGAAAAAAGTTTTAAAAATTTTAAAAAGAAATTGTATGTTAGTTATAACAACAACAAATTTAAAAAGGCAATTACAAATTCTAAAAAAAACTATAAATCTGTGCAATAAAACAATGGCTAAGCATAAAGTTAATTACGATGAACATTACTTTGAGAATATATGAGATTATAAACATTAAAAAATGATACTTGGCCAGGAATGGTGGCTCACACCTGTAATCCCAGCACTTTGGGAGGCCAAGATGGCAGGATCACTTGGGTGCAGGAGGCTGAGGATACGGTGAGTCATGATCACACCACTGCACTCAACCTGGGCAACAGAGAGAGACGCTGTCTCAAAAAAAAATTTGTTTTTATTTAAAAAAATGATATGCAAAAACATTACCTTGAAACTTCCCAGGTGTTATTTTTATTCATTGTATTCATTTACATGTATGTCTTGGATCTATGGAGAAAGAAATTTACACAATATTAATAGCAAAAATATGATTAAATCAACATAGAAACAAAGTATGGACAACTTTATTACAGTCACAGAAAACCATTTAAACTCTATGAAAATTAGCCATTTAAAAATAATGTTAGAGTTGGCCAGATATGGTGGCTCATGCCTGTAATCCCAGCACTTTGGGAGACCAAGACAGGTGGATAACCTGAGGTGAAGAGCTTAGGACCAGCCTGGCCAACATGGCAAAACCCCGTCTCTACTAAAAAATACAAAAATTAGCTGGGAACAGTGGCAGGCACCTGTAGTTCCAGCTACTTGGAGGCTGAGGCAGGAGAATTGCTTGAACCCATGAGGCAGAGGTTGCAGTGAGTGGAGATTGCGCCACTGCACTCCAGCCTGGACAAGACAGGGAGACTCCATCTCACTCACACACACACACACACACACACACACACACACACGGAGTTAGAGTTGACAGAATTTGGGAGTGGATTATGTAAGAAACACATAAGGATTCCAATTTTTTTTTTTTTTAAGACGAAGTTTCACCATGTTGGTCAGGCTGGTCTTGAACTCCTGACCTCAGGTGATCCGCCTGCCTTGGCCTCCAAAGTGCTTGGATTACAGGCATGAGCCACCATGCCTGGCCCAAGGATTCCAATTGTTATGAGACCTTGTGAATATTAAGAACATAGATACATAAACATGATAGATCCAGAAATAGAGCTTGAGAAAGCACTTCAAAAGTTACAAACATAACCACTAGACAAACTGAAAATAATAATGAGACAGTAAGAGTTGGGTAGCAAAGACAAGTAGAATGATTTTGTAATAAACTAAAAATTTGATTTTTTTGAAATTGTGAGTCCTGAAGGAAGTTTTAAGCATATTTTTAGAATTTTGCAGGAAAATACCAAAACAATAATAAACAGAAACAAAACCTGGAAATCTGTAGCTGAGTAGGTATGCTGTATCACCTGTGCTGGGCTCTTCAGAACAGTAGAGAGGAACAAATCAATTTACATGCAGAAAAGACAGAATGAAGTAATTTTGGTACTGCTGTTATTGCCCAGCACTGCTTATCAAGTATGAAGAAGTCTTTTAAGAAAGCTGCCTGCATCCTCTGTGGCCACCTGAAGCTGTTGCCCACGTTTCTCAGGGCGAGGCCAGGGATGATTAGCCCCGATTTGTACAGCCTTCCCAACTGGGCAAGGTAGAAATAGAAGCTTGGCTATTCTCCTCTTAACATGGAATCTCCCCGGCTTCACAGCTCCCACATTGAGTGGGATAGACTGGGTCTCCAGACCTAAAAGTTATCATCCTCATAACTCTCAACCACATTGTTTGGTTTTCACTGGTACAGATATCTCCAAATGGGTCTCTCTTACATTACGCACAATGGCTAGTTACTTTGGGCCTCCATTTTTAGCTATTTTTCCGCACATCATCTACTGTTATCTACTGTGAAAGTGTCAATGAGCAGGAGCCTCTGGGGACTCACTGGATTGTTTTCAGCCCCATTGAGATGATCAGTTAATTCCTTGGTGGCTGGTGACTGTTCTGAGACTGAGTGTGCTGCCTGTACTTCATCACTGCGGTCCTTTTCGTGTTCATCCTATTCTGGGAATTTCCCTATTCACCAGACCCTTTCTTGCTGTCCATGTGAGCCATGACTCATGAGTAAAATGTTAAAGCATGTTCATTTCTAAAAGAAAAGAAAATAAAGAAATAACTTTTCAGCCATTATGAAGAATGACATTGGCTGGGTGCAATGGCTCACACCTGTAATCCCAGCATTTTGGGAAGCCAAGGTGGGCGAATCACTTGCACTCGGGAGTTAGAGACCAGCCTGCCCAACATGGTGAAACCCCATCTCTACTAAAAATACAAAATTAGCCAGGCATGGTGGCAGATGCCTATAGTCCAAGCACTTTGGGAGGCCAAGGCGGGCAAATCACCTGAGGTTAGGAGTTTGAGACCAGCCTGGCCAACATGATGAAATACAAAATTTTGATATACAAAATTAGCCAGGCATGGTGGTTGATGCCTGTAGTCCCAGCTATTGGGAGGCTGAGCCAGAAGAATTGCTTGAAGTTGGGGGGGTGGGGCCGGTGGGGGAAGGTTGCAGTGAGCCGAGATCATACCATTGCACTCCAGCATGGGCAAAAGAGTGAAACTCTCTAAAAAAAAAAAAGAATGGAATCCTGTCATTTGCCATTTGTAACAACATGGATAAAGCTGGAGGTCAGATTTCTGGGAAGAGAAATAGGTCAGGGCCGGGTTAGCAATGTCTGCATTCCTCTGCTGCGCAGCCCATCTGCTACAGCTATGGCTCTTGCCTTGTTCTATTGAACCTTCTTGTGACTGTTTATTCCTATGAATAGTCATGGCTTCCTCCTGTTGCTGTTCCCCAGGTATAGCAGCATTGCTATTTGTTTCCATTTGTGATCTTAATTTATTGTTAAACAACAATTTAATATTACAGATCACCTTAGACAATTTTATTTGCTAAGGTATTCACGTACTTGTGTACATGTGTGTATATATATATGTATATTGTTCACTTGACTCTGTAATTTACTTCAATTTTCAATACAGCCATGTGTCACTTGATGACAGGCATACATGTTGTGAAATGGGTTGTCAGGTGATTTAGTCCTTATGCAAACATCAGAGTGTACGTACACAAGCCTAGATGGTATAGCCTACTACACACTTAGGCTATATGGAATAGCCTATTGCTCCTAGGCTACAAGCCTGTCTAGCATATTACTGTACTGAATATTGTAGGCAGTTGTAAATAATGATAAGTATTTGTTTAGATACACATAGAGAAGGCACAATAAAAATATGGCATAAAAGATTTAAAGATTATATTCTTGTATAGGGCACTTCATAAATGAAGTTTGCAGGACTGCAAGTTGCCCTGGGCAAGTCAGTGAGTGACTGGTGAGTAAACGTGAAAACCTAGGACATGACTGTACAATTAGGCTGCACTTTAAAAACTTTTTTCTTCAATTAATTAACCTTAGCTTACAGTAATTTTTTGACTCTATAAACTTTTAAACATTTTGACTCGTAACACTTAGCTTCAAACACAAATACATTGTATAGCTGTACAAAAATATTTTGTATTTTCACTCTATAAGCTTTTACTATTTTTAAATTTTTTTTTTTAATTTTGAGACAGAGTCTCCCTCTGCCACCCAGGCTAGAGAGTAGCAGTATAATCAGGGTCCAGATTCAACCCCCCAGGATCCAGCAATCCTCCTACCTCAGCCTCCTGAGTAGCTGAGACTACAGGTGTGTGCCACCATGCCTAGTTACTTTTTAAATTATTTTGTAGAGATCAGGTCTCACCATGCTTCCCAGGCTAGTCTCCAATTCCTGGGCTCAAGCAATCCACCTGCCTTGGCCTCCCAAAGTGCTGGGATTACAGGTGTGAACCACCATACCTGGACCATTTTTTACTATTTTTATAATTTTTTATTGTATATATTTTTATTTTTTAAACTTTGTTAATAACTGAGGCACAACCACACCCACTAGTCTAGGTCTACACGGTCAGGATCACCAATATTGCTGTTTTCCTCCACATTTTGTCCTACTAGAAGGTCTTCAAGGGCAATAACACACATTATTTCAACACACACTAATTTAACAAAGTTTTCTTCTGGAATACTTCCCAAAGGACCTGCCTGAGGCTGTTTTACAGTTAGCTTTTTGTATAAGTAGAAGGAATACACTCTAAAATAATGATAAAAAGTCTGGTATAATAAATACACAAACCTTTGAGAGTTTATCATCAAGTATCACAGACTGTATATAATTGTGTATGCTATACTTTTATAAAATTGGTAGTGCAGGTTTGTTCACACCAACATCACCACAAACTCATGAGTAATGCGTTGCACTACAACAGCGACAACATCGCTAGGTGGAATTTTTCAGATCAATTATAACCTTATATATATACACGGTCCTTCATTGACTGAAACGTTCTATGGCACCTGGCTATAGTTCTTAGTCTTGCTTTTCTTTGCAAGATTGTAAGTTTTTAGATGACAATAAACACTGTTTACCATTTTTTTATCCCCAGACTTTAACAGAACACCTGCCACACTTATCTGGTGGACAAACTGATTCACTTTGATATAGCACCCAAGATTTACAAACTATAGAAATTATCCCTGAAAGTATAGTCTTCACCCAAGATTAATATTACCATCTTCAGCAAGAAATTAAAGTTGTATTTTACCTTGAGCAGACTAAAGCCTCTCGAAAACAAGATATTATGCTTGATGGATTCTACCTATGTGAAGCTTTAAGAAAAAACTACCTCATCTTTATTTTAAGGTCAAAGCATGTGATTCATTTAGAGAAAATATTTATCTCAATTTAAGCTTATTGCTTTGCAATATTTTCTAGTGTTCGCAATTGTACCACTCTCTAACGGTGGACAAATCACATGTCATCTCAGAACCTTGAGGTCCAAATGATAAAACGAAGAAAATGACACTTGATATCAGAGAAGAGTTGTGCAGAAACATATGCTAATCATTAAGCATAGTTCTTAAGAAAACAGGCAGGTAACCAAGAAAATAAATAATAACAATTTTGAACTTTCAGAGAAGTGGTAAAATAACTTCATAACACAATTAAAGCAAATTACTATGCAGGTTCTTCTAATGTTGCCATCTTTGTGGGAGGTAATTTCTCTGAGATAAAATTCTTGTAACGTGTCACTACATCAATAAATAAGAATACTTAGAAGATAAACAAAGCATCTCTCTGAGTCCATCTTATAATGTCACATCTAAACTTTCATGAGGAAGGCATCAAGGCAGTCCCACATTATATATATTAAAAATAAAAATAAGTATAGTTGAACTTATGTTTAAAAACTAAATTCCATTTGCTTTGTTACTCATTACTCTCCATTCTCTCTGTGGACTATACTTACATCACAAAGGACATAACTGAGAACGGTGGCAAACTGATATGAATGTTTTAACAGAAAATAATATTGTATTAATGTTAAATTTTCTGAATTTGACAAGTGAATTATAGTTATGAAGAGAATGTTCTTGTTCTCAGGAGATACCTACTGAAATATTTAGGGGCAAAGAGGCATGACATCTATAATTAATTCTCAAATAATGCATACTGGGGGGAGTTATATATTTAGAGAGAAGTAAAAAAGCAAACTTAAAAAAATGTTAATAAACCATATAAACTTTCTGGAATTTTGTTTCTTCATCTGCTTAGAGACAAAAAAAGGGCTGAACTATTTTGGTTTTATTCACACTGTCATGAAACTCATTTAGGAGTTGAGGTCAGTATTAGAAAAGTGTTATTAGTTAGTGAATCTGGATAAGAGATTTAAAAGCATTCTTCCTATTCATTCTTTGGTAAGTCTGAGATTTTTTCAAAATCAAAACTAAAATAAACTAATACCATATTTATGTAACACAAAGGCACTCTAAGCGTGAGAAGCTAATGGTTAACTATATGATACCTGTATACTTCCTCTGCAAACTAACTGAGTTATATGCTTACAAGGGTCCATTTATATTTGTACCCTAAAGTATGTATGCCTATTATACTTATAAAATCTATTTAAATATGTAAACTAATGAAATACAAGTTATTTTTCATAGAAAACTAAATTGATAAAGATGAATAACAAACAAAAATTACTATTAGAACTAGGCACAGGTAAGTCAAATCTGTAAAACTTTGGAGGAAAAAAACTATATAAAAATCTAGACTGGGCATTTAAATTGCTTGAAAGCTATTTTTAACTTCTTACTCCACTTTGAAGAAAATGAAACTGAACACTGTAAACAATGCAACTTATAACAAAGACAAGGCAGGTACACCAAACAGCAAATTCATGCTCAGACAAAAGGTTTTAGGCCTACTACCAAGACTGGCGAGTGAACATATAATTATACACTGGAGTCAAAATAAAATGACTAAAGTCATATTTGCCATTTTTAAATATGTACCACTTTAGCTGACTTTTTAAATTCACTGATCAACTGGTCCTAATTTTAGGGGAAGACAGGGCCTCTACTACTGTTTTAATTGAAAAAGTGATACACATGGTAAAAATATTCAAATAGTTCAAAACCCTACACATGAAAAAAGTTTCCCTTGTATTAGTCCTCTAGGGCTGCTATAATGAAACACCATGGACTAGGTGGCTTAACTACAGAAATTTATTTTCTCACAGTCCTGGAGGCTCCAAGTCCAGGATCAAGGGGCCATGAGGGTTGGCTTATGGTGTGGCCTCTCTTTCTGGACTGCAAATGGCCATCTTCTCTCTGTGTTCCTATATGGCCTCTTCTCTGCCCATGCAACTCAGACACCAGCTCTACAGGATTAGGGTTTTGCCATTTTTTTTTTTTTTTGTAGAGACGGGGTTTCACCATGCTAACCAGGATGGTCTCGATCTCTTGACCTGGTGATCCACCTGCCTCGGCCTCCCAAAGTGCTGAGATTATAGGCGTGAGCCACCGCGCCCGGCTGGTTTTGCCCTTTTGACTTCATTTAACCTTAATTATTGTCCTAAAGGCCCTGTCTCCAACTAGTCACATTGGAAGTTAGGACTTCAACATATGAATTTTGAGGGGACATAATTCAGCTCACAAAACTTTCCATGCCAGACTCCCAGTCATCCTGGTGTGTATGTGATGCTCAAATGGAAGTAGACTCTACACACTATTTTGCACCTTACTTTTCTCACCTTATAGCATCACAGAGGTATTCCATGTCAGCACATATAGATCTATCTAGTTCATTTTAATGGCTGCATACTATTCTATTGAATGGCTACAATATGACTTATTTCAGCAATTTCCTATTGCTGAACAGTTAAAAGTTTTTTTTCACTCTATTACAAGAATCCTGTAACAAATATTTTTATATAATACTTTTATATACAACCGGTATAGCCATGGGATAAATTTTAGAAGTAAAATTGTTAGATCAAAAAGAGCTTCATATAAAATTGTGATATATATATATATATAATTACCATGAACTTTTTAAAAAATACACCAATTTATATACTCCTACAGTGTTTAAGAATGCTTGTTCCTCCCACCCTGCTTCCATACCACACATACACACATAATATTGTAGTATCAATATATTTTTTTTTTTTTTGCCATTGAGCTAACACAAAGGATCAAACTGTCAAATCAGGCTTAAATCAGAGATTTTACTCAGTATCAAGCTTTACTAATAATTTCAAGGATACCAGTAAATGCATCCTGGCCCAGGATAGTAGATGTGGTTTCTAAATCAAGTGTATAGTCACCCCACTTACACAGAAGGAGCCAACTCAGTTATGAAACACTTGCATTTTATGCTAAGTTACATAACTTTCACAGTATTTTCCAGTGAATCATATCCCTGAAATTCACGTTGATTCTTTTTTGTTTTGTGAGAGGGAGTCTTGCTCTGTCACCCGGGCTGGAGTGCAGGGACGCGCTCTCTGCGCACTGCAACCTCTGCCTGTCTGGTGCAAGCAATTCTCCTGCCTCAGCCTCCATAGTAGCTGGGATTAAATGTGTACACCACCACACCCAGTTAATTTTTGTATTTTTGGTAGAGATGGGGTCTTGCCATGTTGGCCAGGCTGGTAACTCCTGACCTCAAGTGATCCGCCTGCCTCAGTCTCCCAAAGTGCTGCGATTACCACATCTATTCTTAATGTGCCTACCATAAACAATCCCAGCCCTGGGACATCTTGCTAGAAGAATTCCATAATATGGACTCTCCTGCCTGCAAATACCATTGGTTTATTTGCCAGGAGGTCTCTAATTACCCTATTTATAAAAATCACATGCTTGCTTGCTTGCTTTCCTGGGAGTATTTTCCTATGAAGGGAGAGACTGGATTGCAGATCTTCTGCTTAACTCCTTCTTTCTCAGTCACTGATGGATGAAAAACGGCATTTCCTTATTTACTTTTACATTTTAAGTAATGTTGAACATTTAGCTACAAAATACTGAAAACTAGAAGGCAGATGAATCAAGAGGCAATTACCTTAGTAGACTTGAGAAGCAGGAATCCCAAGCGGGCCATGAAGCAACCTGGTATACATAGCAAAACCCTTCGTAAGGCTCAGAAATTAGAAGCACCAGGTAAAGCTGAAGAGAGCATGAAGTAAGCTAGAAATAGGAGGAACGATAGACTGTTTAAGAATGAATCAAATGCTCAGATTCCCTTCGCTATCCCATCAAAAGCTGAGAGATTTAGTCTTGGAAGATAGCAAAATGCAAATTCTCTAGCTAGGAGGACAGCAGGCCCTCTTAAGGAAGAAGGTGTCATGTTGAAAAAGAGAAAAAATTAGAGGACTAACATCTGAATAACTGAAGCTCACAAAAAAGAAAACAGAAGAGAAAATAAGTAACTCAAGCTTGGAGTTCTGACTCCAAGCTCAGTGCTATTTATAATCTTTTAGGCTTACTGGTATATTTTGATTCATACTAACTGTAAAATGACATTTTCTAAGTTTCACAAATATTGGGGATAGTCAAAGGACTTTGTTCACGTGATTAAAGGGTGGGGCTTGCATTACCCCTCTCCTAAGCAATCATTCCAAAATGATTGGCAGGAATAAAGAATCATGGTTTAAAAAATCATGGTTAAACAAACAAAAAAGAACAACAAAGAATGGATTATGCACAAAAGCTATGTGCCTATTAGAGCTCAGTGATCACACCTTAAGTTGTCTATGTATAAGAGATGAGGCTATAACTAGCTAAAGCTCTAATTGGCTAAGACACTAAAGCCAGAAAGTATTCTATAACATGCAAATATGCAGATATAAAATCAACTCTAAGTGCTGGGCACAGCCGCTGATGGCTGTAATCCCAGCTACTTGGGAGGCACAGGTAAGAAGATCACTTTAGCCCGGGAGTTCAGAGCTGCGGTGAGCTATGATTGTGTCACTGCACTAGGGAAAAAAGTGAGACCTCCTCTCAAAAAAAAAAATCAACTGTAGAAGAAAAAATAATGTCTGGGTCACCTGTGGAGTCTGGGAGTAGTCCCACTGTCATGCCCAGGCAGAGATGCAAACCATGAGAGGCTTCTATTCTAGGTGGGCCGTTTCAGTCCAAGTCAGCCTGGCACTCGAGCAATAAACACAGGCAACTGAGTTTAACATCAAGTTTTTAGAACCTTCAACTGACAACCCGACAGCTGTTTCTAAGTCTTAGACCATTTCAATCAGAATCTAGGTAGCACGTGGGCACCTGATTAGTTTTAAAAGCTTTCCAGGTGATTTAAAAAGTGTTCCAGTAGTTCCCCACCCTCTAGTGGTTTTAAGAGCTTTCCAAGTGATTCAACCCCAAGTGAATCACTTAGCATTGAGTATCATTGCCCTAGTCATGGCAACTTTCAAGCTCGTTAGTGCATTTTTGCATAAAAATACACACCAAACAAAAGCAGATCAACTTTTTTATGAGGGTGTCTATTTTTTCCTTTAGTGTCCTCAGATCTTCTGCTGTTTTCTTGTCTACTTTTGTTCCTGAACACGCCCTTATTTTTATGTCTTTAGAAAGTGCCTGGCACGGTATTTCAGACAGTTAAAATACTGTATCAACAAAGGACTCATAAATGCTGTATTAATTTTAAAAGATGTATAGTGAATATATGATTGAATAAAAAAATCCAGCTGGGGCGTGGGAGGAATGGATAATAAAACAAATAAGAGAACGGAAAAACAAAATTAGGAATTGTTTTTGGTAGCCAGCTACTGTGGGCTTGGAGATCTAAGTATGATACCAAATTGGGAGGAGGAGGAGGGAGTGAGGGAAGCATGGGCAGAGCAGCCGAATGGCCAGGCAAGGGCGATTTCCCTGAAACCTGAAGGCTTTCAGGTTACAACTAACGGATACCGGGAAAAGAACACGGAGCCCTCGTCCCTTATCTATCTAAGCTAGTTCTGTAACTTTAAGTCAATCTCCTCTCTGAACCAGGTTATTTCTCCTACCTAAAGGGAGGAGCCTGACCTAGGGGCAATTAATATCTCTTTCCAAGTCCAGCTCTAATTCTGTAAACAGGGGATCAAACAGAACTTCTTTCTTCAGAAAATGCCCCAGAGAAAACAGAAGCAGGTCCTCGAGCCGCGAGCCACCCTCCTCTTGCCACCCAACGTAGTCAGCCCGAGGGACAGATCCGGCACAAGGCTCTACTTTCTTTGTAAACGCCTATCACCCTAGCCACGCACCCCGACCGTAGCAGTTCTGAGTTTCCCACCACTCCCATAAACGCCCTCCACGCACGCCGGATCCCGACCGGAACCTGGAGAACCAGTGGTCGCTCATCCCCTAAAGCACAGGGAGGAGCTTCATCTAAAATCGGTGAGAGTCGGGGCTCTTCCAGGTGAAGAGCGCCTGGCGGAATCGACTTCATCGACTATCTCCGCGCCCTGGACCCGCCCCCTCCGCCTGGCGCCAGGCCGTCGAGCGCCGATCGGCTCGATGAGCGGAGGCGCTGCTGCGACGCTGCCGCCGACGCCGAATCCGCACCCACCGTCCCCCGCTCTCCCAGCTTTTTACCTCAGCTTCCCACTCTTTCCCCCGCCCGTCCAGCACCACCCGCCCGGGAGAACTGCCGGGAGTTCCCCGGGAGCCTCAGGTACTGGCGCTGGCCTGTTCCCAGCGAGAGGGGCTGCTGTGAGGAGGGAGGAAATGATGACGCCCCTGCCTCGCCGCCCCGCGACGTCCGAGTCGGGCTGGTTAGCTGGCTTCGGGGATCTAGGAAGGGACCCTAGAGTGATAAAACGCTGGGGCTGGGGCTATCGTGAGGAAGGAAGACGAGGGCAGAGGTGTGCGGACGGGGAGTAGTTGAGAGGAAAAGAATTGGAATTGAGGGGTACTCTGGGGCGATGGGAAGAGAACAGTGCCATGGATGGGGAAGGTTTGTTAAGAGTGGGAGGCAGTCAGGAATGCCAGGGAGTACCATGGGGCAGGAAGGGCCAACGTTAGGAGCAGATACTTCGAGGGACGTGGCCTGGTGCGACAGATTGGGTGTTGGGGGGTGAGCAGAGCTGCCTGGAATTGTGTATTTAAAGGGCTCAGGAGAAAGAGCGCCAACCCTGCTGTGTTTATAATGACCAGAAGGTGGAGGTGAATCGTTACACTTGACAGGTTTTGCGAATAGCATCTCTGGTCTGTGTCCATCCAAGTCACTTTATTCCTATGAAACTGCATCGAGCAAGACGCTGATGACAGACAAGGAAGAGGAGTTAAAAAGGGAATGGAGGCTGGGGAAAGGAGAGCCTCTGCCCAGATTCAAAGCTATTGACTAAATAACGTACTGCTTACAAAAATTCATACATAAACGTTTAAGTATATGCTGATGCATAAGAAGCATACAGTAATGTGACTGTTTAAGTGAATTGTATAGTGGTGATCTATCCTCAATGTGGAAGTACATGATGGCTCGCTTATTTACATGTATACCTAGTCACAAACACCTGAATTCACATGTCTTTTTTGTAGGAGAAATCTTAAGCAGACTATATCCTAGTCTCCTTTCTGAGCATGATTTACTTCTACTAGTTGGATACCCGTATCATCAGATACTAATAATCAGTTGCAAATAACATCAGATTTCATCAAGTAGCTAATTAATCTGTCTACTGCTTTGTGGATGGGTTTTCTATTTGTTGGACATGGTTTCTTGGGATTAAGAGACCTGAATATGGGGTTTGCTCATCCTTAAGGTTGTAGTTTTACTATATGTCTCATAAACGCATTATGTAAGTCTGCCTGTTGTTTGCTTTGGGATGTTGAGGCAGCCTCTTTGCATGGGGTTAAAATATAAATACAGATATAGTTAAAAGCACAAGTTCTTCAGTAATTTGCTTGGTCATCTGTTTTTTCCATGCATTCTGTTACATTTCTGCATAAATGAATTATTCTGAAATCAAAGTATGAGGAATAAAAGGGCCAGATGTATGTGACAGAAATACTGTGGAACCAAGAACTCAAGAGCTGTTAGGCAGCAAGAGTTTGTTTTTTGTTACTAGTGAATAATTTCTGATTTGGAAGCATTTCTTATCAAATAAAAGTGTTTGTGTCCATTTGTTTTGACAAGCATCTAACTTAAAATATTACTTTTATTTGGCTTAGGAAACCAGACTTTGGGATTATTCTTTCTGATGTCTAATTTTACGTAATTTAAAGGCCTAAATGTTTCTTCTTGTGGGGAAGGAAACAGGACTATTGGGTTGTTACTGGGAAATGGGTCGCTCTAGAACAGAATTCTGTAAACCTGATGGCCAACTAATTGAACAAATAATTAAAACTGATAATGCATTGCCATTGATTGATTTAGGCCTGTATCTCTGCCATTTCAATGAGGATAGCGACTAACATTATCGTTACTAAACTTTAGTTTTCTGCTAGTTTCTTAGTGCCTACTTCAAAGAAGCATCATAAAGACTAAAAGAAAATGCATGTGTATCACAGAGCACAGTGCCTAGCATATAGTAAAACCTTCAGTATTTCCGAGCTATCCTTAATTGCTGGGTATTCATCTACCATCTAGTACAAAATACTGAAAATTCATTATTTGCATAGAACAACTTTTTCTTTAAAAAATTTTAATATGTTGCATATGCAAGCATTTGCCTAGAAAGTCACAATGCATATTAGCATGTAAGAGGATTTGAGTCATTCTGTAGTAAGAAAAACTAGCTTTGTTTAATCCAGTTGTTTTGATGAAAGAAAAACTGAGTTTCTCTTATTCTCTCTCAACACAGGATACTCCTCTGACCCCAAAAAGATTTCTCCTCATGAGCAAGTAGGCAATTCTGCATCAGATTCTCCAGCTGGGTGTCCTCTGATCAATTGGTACTATATACTTAGAGATAGCATCAGATTCTGCAGGTTGAGGGCTTAATCTTGCAAGATTCCTCCCCACTTCAGGTGCTAATCACAAGTTCCAGGTGTTTTTACCTGTGCTTCCAGTAACTGACAGGCTATAAATCAGAGTTCTGAAAATTCCTTCCTTGTGTTCAATTTATTTGCTAGAATGGTTCACAGAATTCAGAGAAACACTTTATTTACTGGTTTATTATAAAGGATATTACAAAAAATAGAGATCAACAGCCAGATGGAAGAAATGCATAGGGCAGGGGGTACAGAGTTTCCGTGCCCTCTCCAAGTGTGCCACCATCCAGGAACCCTCTACTTGTTCAGTTATCAGGAAGCCCTCTGAACGCTGTCCTTTTTGGGTTTTATGGAGTCTTCATTAGTAGGCATGATCGATTACATTATTGGCCATTGGAAATCAGTTCAACCTTGAGGCCCCCTCCCTTCCCAGGAGGCTAGCAGGTGGGACTGAAAAGTCCCAGTCTTCTAATCATGCCTAGGTTTTTCTGTGACCAGCCTCCATCTTGAATCTGTCTAGGGGCTAAGCTACCAGTCATCTTATTAGCATACACAGGACACATCACTGCAGGGATTCCGAGGATATGTCAGGAAATGGGGATTAAGACCAAATATATATATTTTATAAATCACAATATTACCAAACTTACCCCTTTTAATGGAGCATCAATGGGACATTATAGTTTGCAGAATATTTTTGCGTGTGTTATCTGATTTGACCATCCCAACTCTGTGCAGAAGCCTGAAAATCACTATTTTACACATGAGGAAGCCAAATCATTGCTTAGGCAACCAACTAAAAGTGAGAGAAATAGACGTTCTCCTGTCTTCTGATTTCAACTTTAAATTGCTCACTGAGACATCTTCCTTCTATTCTCTGCTCTTTCATTTTATAAAAACCATAAGTCTCATATCTTACACATGTTCTCTTAGGGCAGTTACATCCATTTTCTCATAGTTTTAACTATTTCTTACGTATTGAGGTCTAGTAGGGAGCCCCCAGTCACTGAAGTGGAATAACTGAGAAGGGAAGAATTAAAATCAGAAAAATGAGGGAGTCCCCATCATACAGGGTCTTGTATACTGTTTTAAGTACTTTAGCTTATACCCCGAAGTCTCAAATCTGATGAAATTTATTTTCCCTTTAAGGCGTTGACCATTCTGCTGGGAAGTGAAAAGTATTTTACAAGGAAAAAAATATGCCTCCCAAGTTTAAGCGCCACCTCAATGATGATGATGTCACAGGTTCTGTGAAAAGTGAAAGGGTAAGTTCAGAATCTTAAGCTTTAAAAACAAAAGATTCAAAATGTTTTCATTCACTTTGTAAATAATAGAAAAAAAGCAGCTGGGTGTGGTTGCTCTTGCCTACAATCACAGCACTTGGGATGCTGAGGCAGTGTAGCTTGAGTCCAGAAGTTTGAGACCATCTTGGACAACATAGGGAAACCCCATCTCTGCGAAAAATTTTTAAAAATTAGTGGGGCATGGTAGCACGTGCCTGTGGTTCTAGCTATTCGAGAGGCTAAGGCAGGAGGATCACCTGAGCCTGGGAGGTAAAGGCTGTGGTGGACTGTGATCCAACCTGGGTAACAAAGTAAGACCCTGTCTCAAAAATTAATAACAACAGAAAAAATCTAAAGCTTATGACTATATTCTAATCATATTCGTTTTCTTCATAGTGAATGTATTAAAAAACATGTCACTTAGATTGGTGACACAACTGAATTCAGAGTTCTACTTTATTATAGATCAAATCATTCTCATAGCTTTTTTCTAGTTTTTGAAAGGGAGTTTTATACGAATACACAATGTCTTAAGAAGAACTTTGAGGTTGAATATATTTGGAATTTTTCAGATTTTAGAAAGTTAAGAACATTATGTAACAGCATTTTTGGGGCCTGGACCAGTGCCTCCAAAAATATTAATATTTCTCTTTAAGTCTATATTTAGTTATATCTAACTGTGTAAATAAAGTGTATAAATAAACTAGCTAACATCAATTCAGGTCAGATTTTCCACCAAAACCTTTGGAATTTAGAAGCTTTTAGATTTTGGAATTGCAAATAAAGGTCACAAGACCTATAATCATCTTATGTTCCAGAGTATCTTTCATATAATGCTTCAATTTCTAGTTTATTCCAGAACATTCTGTACAAATATATATATAAATCTAGAAATTATGCAGCATTCTGGAAGACATTTTATATGAATGTTGTAGGCAATTACTTTTCAAATGAGTACTCAATACATATTTATTGGGGAGAAGAATTTGCATTCTTATCTTTTTTAATGCACCATTCTGAAGCCCTCCTTCCTTCCCTTCTTGTCTTGATTCATTCAGCAAATATTTATTGTCCACCTACTATGTGCTAGGCACTGGGCTAAAAATTGGAAGATACAGTCTGTGCCCTTGCAAAGCTTTTAGTCTATTTTACATACTCTTTTTGGACAACCTCAGAACTTCATATTATCCACGCTATCCACCATCTTATGACTTAGAAGTTTTTTTTAGCTCAATGCAGAAAACATTTTTCTTCCCCAGATTCTAACCCTTTGTACAGGTTTTTGGGTTTTGCGTGTTTTTGATGGTTTGTTTTTATTTTTTGAGACCAAGATCTTGCTCTGTCACTGAGGCTGAAGTGCAGTGGTGCAATCACGCCTCACTGCAGCCTCCACCTTTTGGGCTCAAGCTGTCCTCTCACCCCCGCCTCCTGGGTAGCAAAGACTGCAGGTGTATGATACCACACCTGGCTAGTTTTTGTTTTTCTTGGAGAGATGGGGTTTTGCTGGTCTCAAATTCCTGAGCTCAAGTGACCTACCTGCCTTGGCCTCCCAAAGTGCTGGGATTACAGACGTTTGACACTGGGCTCAGCCTGTTTGTTTGTTTGTTTTTTAAATGAGGAATAGAATCCACCAATAGACTAATTGCTAGCAAGCTTTTAAAAATGAACTTTAAGGAGTCGCCAATGATTTCATGTTGCCAAATCCAATTATTCTTTCTTTGCCATAATTTCAACTACCAGCATTTAGTGCAGTTTCAACAATTTTGGTTACCTATCTTTGCCTCCACACCATGGTGAACTCTTAGTGTCTGCTCGAACTATTTCTCCATGTAAGGAATTGAGAAATGCCTTGAGGAAATAAACCAAATCTGTTTGAATTGGGAAGGCTCTGGCAGAGAGAAGACAGAGGATGCTCAGGGATTGAGAAATCACTCACAGGGATAATCCAGGGTCTCTTTTTTTTTTTTAAGTTTTTTTAAATTTTTTGGGGGGCCCTCTAATATCTTTCAAGATAAACCTTCAAGCAAAAATGATTCAGAAAATTTGACATATCTGTGCTGGAATTCCATACACTGAAGATTTACTATCAAAAGCATGTCTTGGCCGGGCATGGTAGCTAACGCCTGTAACACTTTGGGCCGAAGTGGGCAGATCACTTGAGGTCAGAAGATTGAGACCATCCTGGCCAACATGGTGAAACCCCGTCTCTATCAAAAATACAAAAATTAGCCAGGTGTGGTGGCACACGCCTGTAATCCCAGCTACTTGGGAGGCTGAGACAGGAGAGTCACTTGAACCTCAGGAGGCAGAGGTTGCAGTGAGCTAAGATTGCGCCATTGCACTCCAGCCTGGGTGACAGAGTGAGACTCCTTCTCAAAAAGAAAAACAAAGCATGTCTTTACAAAGCAGATTTGGAGAAATACTAAACCTGTTCAGAGAATAAATGTCAATTTGTTAAAGTAAATGATAGCAAGTGTGAACCTATATAAGAACTCAGTGTAAAACAACACAGACTTAATGTGCATCCAGCACAAGCTGACGAAAGACTCCTGATGAATATTCAGTGATCAGTGTGCACAAAGCATGCTGAAATATTTTTTAAATGATCAGTTAGAATAATCTGAGTCTCTTTCGCATTGCCCCAAGGAAATATTTAGTCACTTATCCAGAGATGCTTGCAAAGCATTAATATCCTGGAAGCTGATCAATAAATGCTCACAGTTGATTGACTGATATCCGAGATATGTGAGGTAAATACCTCAGTCCTGGACAGAGAGCCTCTGAGTCACACCTGCCTTTTTGTAAGATGAGGAATGAAGTATGGAAATGTAGGTAGTAAAATTATCTCTCTGAACTTCTGTGTAATTCATACAATCTATGTTAACTTTGAAAAATGTATGTAAAGCGGAGAAGGTTGTGGCCAAATTCAGTGTATAGTATACAAGAGAATATTAATTAATAATTTTTAATCGATACAAATTTCATTTTAAAGTTTTATTTTTGCATGATTTTGAACTTAAACGATTCATGTTTCATAAGTTCTGCATTTCTTTCTCACAGTCACTGCTAAACATAACTTTGTTGTTCACTTAATGGAATCATTGCTAAGGACATAGTCACTTGAATACTATTGCTTTTTAAAAATCAAGTCCAGGCGTGATATACCAGTATCACAGTCTCATGGCACATTGGTCATAATCCTGAGAAAATATTGACACAACTATTATTTTTAGATAATAAATACCAGTTTAATACTTGTGGAAATCAGGCTAAATAGTACATAAAGCCCATCCTGTTAACAAGGTCAGGAACAATTACTTCAAGAAAAACAATAATAAACCTTAAATTAAAAAGTAATACAAATAAATAAGCTTTATGAATATATTTTTAAATTTTAAATGTACTCTCAGTAAGTTCCACTGCTGAGACTGTAATTTTATCACTTTTTCCTTATATTCTTCATTGATTACTACTGTAAATTATTTGAAAAAAAAAGGGCCGGGCGCAGTGGCTCAAGCCTGTAATCCCAGCACTTTGGGAGGCCGAGGCGGGTGGATCACGAGGTCAAGAGATCAAGACCATCCTGGTCAACATGGTGAAACCCCGTCTCTACTAAA